TTAAAATTCTATAATTTTTTTTTATTTTTAATAGAATAAATATTATTTTTATGATATATTTTATATTTTTTTATGAATTTAAGAGAATATATTTTAATCGTAATTAAATTCTATAGAACACCTTATTTTTATTTTTATTACTTGATTTAATTCATTAAAGTAATAATTATTTTAATTTACAATAATAATAATTGAATAGTTTATTTTATTCACATTTTAAGATATAATTGGAACAAAAATAATAAAAATATTTATTTAAATAAGTATTATTTATTCAAAAAATAATATATAAAATAAATTTTACAAGTTGGATTATTGTAGACTTGGTCCATTTCCTATTTGTTAACATATCAATCTAGTTGAATATCTATTACATCTATTAGAGTCTATAAAGATCCAGTCCATATTTGTATGTCTTTTTTTCAACCATATAAGACAATTGATAGATCAAAAAATAGATAAATCCCACCTCTTTCTATAGAAGTGGACAATAATAAAAAATTTGAAGTTGAAGAAGTCTTGGACTCAAGGAGGCATCTAAATAGGTTAGAATATCTTGAACATTGGTAGAGATATGATATTAATGAATATAAATGAAAGCAAGTAATGCATCTTGGAAATGTAGCAAGAAATATTGATGCTTTTCATCAACAACATCCATCAAAACCAAAATCAAGAATTGAGATATAATCACTACTCTTTGTGGAACTCATCCTTATAAGAAGAAGTAATATCATTGATATACATAATTACTTAGATAAAAAATATTAAGTAGAAGATAAATGAAGGTAGATTTAATTATATCTTTACAAAAAAACTTCTAAGAAGCTTTATGGATGTGGATTTGACTTTATATGTGTTTGTAGTTGATTGATAGTTTGAAAACTTGATTCATATCCTTGATAAAGGCATGGCATTATATTTATAATATCCATATATGGTTTAAAATAAAATTTTCTATTTATTACCTTCTATAATACAATTAGATTATATGTTCATTATAGATCTACTTTAGTATAGATCTTTGCTTGATTTAGTTGATAAAAAAAATCTTGATATTAGAGATAGAAAATATTTGTTTTTGATGTTAATATTGTTTTGCCTTTCATAATCCACACATATTTGTGATGATTTTTTTATTTTTTGTTTTGTTTTTCTTTTAAATAAAATAAAATAGAAACTTCTACTAAAAATTTTAAATAGCATATGAAGTTCTTGGCCATGCTTTCATCAATATATCCCTCTACTATAGCCAATTTATTTTGTAATAAGCTATAGATTGTTCCAAATAGCAATTGAGTTCTAATTTACGGATTAATTGAATAATCATAAAGACAATACTTTAAAAGAAAATTTGCATTTATTTTCTCAAAAACGTCTTGATAATCTTTATCCATATATTGATTTAAAATATTACTTAAAGTCTTTCCACTACTAAATATTGATGTGGCATAAATAGAAAAATATAAAAATAAAATTGCAACATGTTAAAAGTTCTTACACCTACTAAAATAGATTCAAATGTATCATACTTATAATATTCTACTTAGACAATAGAAGTCCAGGTTGCATAGTGAAAAAAATTAAGATTATAAGAAATTCAATCTATTTAAGGCTTATACTTCTTTAGCCACAATAAACCTAAAATAATTGGATTTGAAGAAGATCTAATATCATTTAATATAACTAAGATTTTGTATCCATACATTGCTACATCTAAAAGAATATTTTCATGGCTAACATCTCTAAAAGATAACAAACAGTCATCTATGACTTTTAAATACATGAACTTTGTTTTTTTTATAAAAAAACATTTCATATTTTTTAACAAAAACTTTAATCTATATAAAAAAAATTAAAGCTCTTGAATTTTAAAAAATAAATAATTTTTAAATTTTGGCCTTAAAGAGACATCTATTGTAAAATCAAATATGCATGTAAAGAGAGAATATGATCTTTAGTAGGTATTGCACAAGATTCTACATACACAATCTTTATTATAATAAGACAAACTTGATTTTTGATACATTGTCTTCTTAAGCAACCATGCTTTTGATTTTTTAATTACACTATTTTTTTAAATAATGTTGAATAGTGTGTTTAGATTATCTACAACATAATCACATATCCTTCTTGACAATATCAAATCTTTCTTTGATCAATGGGAAGTATAAATTGTACCATAGTAATTTGCATAAGTTTTGGCCTTAATGAATAAGTTTCTAAAACCTTAAGGATTGTTGTCATTACTCAATTTATTTCTTTAGAATTAATTTTTTGTTCTTTTTCTATTTCAAAAAGTTGATTGCTGCATGCAATTACTTGAAAAATAAGTTGTTAAAATGAATTTGCTTTCAATATTTTTAATAATAAATTTTTGATATTATTTTTTAATTTATATGAAAATTAATTGATAAAGGCTTTGTTATTTCAATCCACAACACAAGAAATTTTTTGTAATTTAGCAAGATATACGATAATTAATCATGATTCTTGTTGTAAAAATATGAATTTGGTTTCTATTACCTATTTTCAATCACTTTCTCTAAAGATGGTTATAAACACTTCTAAGAATAAATTTAGATCATGTTGGAGTTATGAATCATTTTTCATCAAAGTTACAAATTAAGAGAGTCACTTCCAAATAAAAATGTGTCTATGAATCTAACTTGAGTAAATCCATCAAAATATTTGAAAAGATGCAATTATGGATAGAACTTGATTTGTTAAACAAATATTCAAAATTTTGATCAAATTCAATCAGACTTCTTTAGCATATTAATTCTTGTCTCTCCCTATATTTGTAGTAGTAAGACTTTTTGAATTTAAAGATGAATTTAATTTATTTTCTTTTTTCAAATATATAATTTCTTAGCATAGACATTGACACCATTAATGACTTCTTTCATAGGTGTAGGAATAGTACCACTATGGTTGATATTGATAATACATGAAATTTTTAACTTTAGAGTATTAATAAACTCATGAAGATCTACAATAGATGTAAATTTTTTCTCACTTTTGCCATTTGTAGCATCCATAATCTTTTCTTTTATTCCTATTGCATGTGACTTTATCAAATCCAAAAGTCAAATTAGAAGAGGATAATATACAAATTCTAACATTAAATAAAAGTTTCTAAAAAGAAGAATAATCTAATCTTTAAAAAAAATAAAATAAAATATAAATTATTAATTTACAGATGGAAGTCCAAAATCTTTAAAATACAACAAAAAAATGGGACTCTCTATTTATTTCCAAAACAAAAAAAATAGTGAATTATTATTCATGTGAAATTATTAAGAATATGAATCATAAAGAAAGAAAGATTTGTTATACTTTCATATCACTAAAAACAAGTAGATAATTATTCAAAGATGGTATAATATTTAAATTAGAATAATTATTGCCAAAGACAAAAGACTAAAGATTCTTGAAACAAGACTAAAACTAATAAAGGCGTTGACAAGAATGAAAAAAGGCTTCATTCTTACTTCCATATATACCATTTAATTAGGAGTTATGTAATAATGTCTTATAGGACCATGGACACATGTCCTATTTATAGGACATGTAAATAACTTATTAAATAAAATTCTTACATTTGTACCATAAGGCCAACTTATATCACAAGTTACCATTGTATGTAACATGGTTGGTGAAGTTTTCAAACTATCAATTATCTATAAATAAGTATAAAGTCATATTTAAATCTATGAAGCTTGTAAAAAACAATTTCCACTCAATACTATAAAAATCCATCTTTTCAACTCATTTCTACTTAACTCCTTTAATGTAGGTGAAGATGTATGTTTGTGACATTCAATTGAGATAAGATTGAGGTTTATTTTATTTTATTTTATTTTATCTATTTATTTTTTCTATTTTTTTTAAGAATAATTAATTATATATTCTTCAAATGATATCATTTTAATAACTTTTTGGAGATTCAATCGTGTTATTATCCATACATTTTAAAATAGGCTTTTCATTAATGGTGTAAGAGGTTGTTTATATTCTAGATTAAAAATGTCTTTAGAAAAAGACATAATATTTTTTACACTACATTCAAACTTTTAAATATAAGATTACTATTCTAATATGTAATTGATCAATTTAAAAGCATTAAAAAATAACTATATTCTTTGTTAAATTATTTATTTTATTAAATAATAATCTTTCATCTTTTGCAACATCATACCAATTATATGGATGAAATTAATAGCATTTTTCAAGCCCCATCTCTTTACACCATCTTCTTTATAAAATATCATAAATTGTATCACAAAACCACTTAAGCTCCAAGAGCACTTCTTTGCATATTCCTTTGTTGCACCTTTGCATTAAAATCACTATTATCTAATCTCCCAAACAATTCTTCACCACTTGTATTGCTTTTCTAATAATTTGTGAAAAATTAACCAAAGTGGTTTGAAGTCTTTCTTGTAACAATAACCTCAACTTCCTTCAAGCTTTTCTCTACATTATCCAAGAAACTATTGCATTCATAAGTTTTCCTTGCACATCCATTTCAAGCAAGCCTCCAACAATGAAGAAACAAACATTAAAAAAAGGCATGAACATGTCATTTTATTAATAACCCATTCACATTTGCCACATCAAGTGAAGCAATAGTTACAGCTCACGAGGGGTGTCTCTCATCGCATGTGAGTGAGAGTATGGAGTATAAAAAAGTAAACGAAAATCAGATGAAAAGTTGGAAATGTATCCAGAATTCCTAAAAGAAGAGTAAAATTCTGAATTTCACAGGAAGTGTTCATGTGCTAAACAAACACAGCGTTTGACAAACACATAGACATCAATATAAATACATGCATGTGTGTTGCAACAAGGGAGGATAGGAAGCGAAGATGATGTGGCGTGAAAGGTAAAGGAGGATTGGGAGGGGGAGTCTTCCTCCATGCCTCAGGAAGCAGGAGAGCACGTCCAGTCAGCAGTCCCAGTTGGCATTCCGCTATACTCTCTCTCTCCCTTCCTGCGAGTGTGTGTGTGTTTCGGAGCGCATGAAGAAGCCCTAGACTAAACCCCGTCCCGACCCCCGTCTCGTCATCGCCCGCGAGCTTCTGCTACGCTCGGACGAGATTCTCTACCCCGCCCTGCTCGCTCTCGCTGTTGCTTCCCGAGCTGCAGGGTGGATTCCGCTCGGCGCCGGGCTCTTGGATTGGATTTCAGTGTTCTAGCTGTGCGCGGGCACGATGCAGGTCCAGGAGGATGCCGTGAGTAGCGCCGAGGAGCAAGACAAATGGCTGGCGGATGCCATGGCTCTGGTCCAGCACAATGCATTTTACATGCATCGCGCTGTGGTGCGTGCAATCTTGTTTTCTCTTGTGCTTTTCGGGCTTCCTGACGGCTTCCTTGATGGCCCTGCTTGTTTGTGGTTTACGTTGGTCGGTATCGTCGGTGTGGATGTCGAATCCTGGGAGGATTCGCGATCCGTGGAGTGACGATTTCCCAGGTTGCGGCAGTCGCGAGCCGTGGCAGTGGTCGGATGGAATTAGGTTGGGCGTTAGATCTAATGCCACGGCTTTTCCGTCTTGTGAATTGGCGAATTTGCATGGAGGAGTGCACTTTGCAGCTGGACAGAAAATGCTGGCTTGGCGAGGACCGTCGCAGACCTAATTTGACGCTCCCTCCGGTTACATTGCTGCAGGACGCGAGCAATCTGCGCGATGCTTTGAAGTACTCCGCACAGATGCTTTCGGAGCTTCGAACGTCGAAGTTGTCTCCGCAGAAATACTACGAGCTCTGTATCCGGACTGGTTTGTTCTTTGGTTTCATGGTTTGATGTTTTGCTAGCCAATGCTCTTGTCGTGTCTAGAGACTCGCATCCGAGTGACCAGGAGAGGCGCCGGATCTGGTTGTTCATATTTCGCATAGTGTGCGATTGGTGATCTCTTTCTGGAGAGAGGCTTATGCTCCTCGAATGGTGAGGTTTGATGCCCTTGACCTGCAACAAGACATGAGGACTTTCGATGAGCTGAGGCAGCTGGAAACGTTCTTCAAGGAGGAGACAAAGAGAGGCCGCACCAACGCTGACTTGTACGAGCTCGTTCAACACTCTGGAAACATACTCCCGCGCCTGTAAGATCCTTACGCGCACAAACCAATCCCTCTTAAGTGTGGAGAGCATCAGTTTGGCGGGTTGCCTGTAGGGTTGTGTGGAGGGCTTTTCATGCATTCGCGGCTGAGTCTTGTGTGTGAGGTGGTCGGATGGGTTCGGTGGGGACATGATGGCGTTGGGGGTTGCGGGCCGGGCAGTGGTGGTACTGACTCAGTTTCAGAGTTTTGAGGTGAAACTCAGTGGACGTGATTGTTCTGGATGCGTAGATACCTGCTCATCACCGTGGGATCGGTGTACATCAAATCGCAAGAAGCGCCAGCGAAGGACATATTGAAGGATTTGGTGGAGATGAGTCGGGGTGTGCAGCAGCCGATTCGGGGGCTTTTCTTGCGCAGTTATCTATCTCAAATCAGCCGGGACAAACTGCCAGATGTTGGATCGCCCTACGAAGGGTCTTCTTCTGAACACAGCACCATTGATGATGTGTGACGATGGCCTGTTGGCAATCTTCGATTGACTTCGTTTCAGGGGGCATTGCGATGATACTTCGCTGTGAGGGTGCTCGGGTGTTCTCCATGGTTGTGGATGCCACGGAGGGTCGCCAGGAGCTGCGTCTGTGTACAGAGTGTCGTGGCTGGTTTGGGCGGTGTTTTGTCCCCGGAAGGACCGGTTCACATCATGCATCGGTTGGCGTTGGAGGAGGGGATTTGTTTGATATTTTGATTCGTTGTGAAATTCATGTTTCGAGTTTCCCGCACGAGTCGGCTGTGCTTGACTTTGAAGTTGAATTTCAGGGAGGGTGGCAACGTGATGGACGCGGTGGAGTTTGTGCTCCAGAATTTTACGGAGATGAACAAATTGTGGGTGCGGATGCAACATCAGGTTGGATCACCTCCCATGCATGGCCTCTCTGACGAAAGCGTTGGGTGCAAAACGTGAACGAGACGTTCAGTGCAGCTGCATTGCACTGGAGTTGCCGCCTTGTTTGGAAAGCAGCATCGGTGTAGAGTTCGTCAATCGAGACGTTGTGGATTATTTGCGCATGCCGAAGCTGACGTTGGTTGATCATATTGATGTAAACAGGGCCCTGCTCGGGAGAAGGAGAAACGAGAAAAGGAACGGAGCGAGTTGCGTGACTTGGTAAGCGTTGTGTAAATCCTGACTTGAGGTTGGGCTATGGCTAGGGGTTGCCGAGATCCGCAGTGCGCAAGCCAACTTGAGAACTCGGGAAAGTGAGCGGAGAACGGAGATGCAGTCACCGAGGCCTGGTGTTGATGTCCATGATTTAGCAGCTTTGTTTAGATTGGCGTGGGTGTTTGTGGATGTTGGAGATGGAAAGGGACAGGGGCTATCCGTCTTGTTTTGAGTGCGTGTGGCTGTAGTGGTGGATCCGTCAGGCTTGCTTGTTTGCTGCGTGGAATGGTCGATAGGAAGTAGTCGTGGGACAGGGGTTGATGTTGTTGATGATGGTTGGTTTGTGTTTCATCTTTTCAAAACGATCTGTCAGGTGGGCAAGAATTTGCATGTGCTGAGTCAACTTGACGGCGTGGACCTAGAGATGTACAAAGATGTTGTGCTCCCACGAGTTCTGGAACAGGTATGTCGTGCGTTAACATCGGGAGGAGTCCACACGACGCTTTACGCTCACCTCAAAGAGCAGAGCGTTTGGATGATACTTGGCTAAAGTTGAGGCTTTGAGCTTGATGGCAGTGTCTCGAGGCGGGTCTTTGTGCTCGCACGTTGAAACCGGACTCAGCAGTGATGCCTGCGATGATTGTGACGTTTTCGAGGTCTGGATGGGTGTTGAGATACAGCAGCATATTTCGGAAGTGAGGGGTGAGGATGTGAGGATGTGAACATGTGGAGGGGATGGACTAAGCAAAGCATCGTCATGCGAAACAGATTGTGAATTGCAAGGACGAGATCGCGCAGTACTACTTGATGGACTGCATCATCCAGGTGTTTCCAGACGATTTCCATCTTCAAACTTTGGAGACTCTTCTAAGTGCATGCCCTCAGCTACAGGTATGGGTTTCCAGTTGGATTGGCGCTTTCAGGTGCAGCGATTAGTTTTGTTGGAAAGATATGAGCACGGAAAACCTGGTTTTAGTTGATGAGGGGGAAGCGGAATTTTGGCGAATGTCACCCGTAATCTGGCAGCGGGTGATGAAGGAGTGAGTCGTGCAGCATGGTAGGCTAATGGTGTGCGCACCCGTTTCCGGTGGATGTGGGTGTGCGTCCGAGTTCGTAGTTGTGGTGTATGAAGTGGGCGATTTGAGCGAAGTGAGAGAACATGAATAAGATGGACTTTGTGTGTGCGTACGCAGCCAACAGTGGACATAAAAACAGTGATGTCTCAGCTGATGGAGCGCCTGTCCAGATATGCTGCTGCGTCGCCTGAGGTGTTGCCCGAGTTTTTACAAGTGGAAGCCTTCACGAAGTTCAGTCACGCTGTTGTTGAGGTAATAAGAGGGCGTGTTTTTGCTGGTCTGCAATCTATGGGAGCGATGTACTGTGGTGGGCGAGGCACAAAGCTATGAGATTACGTCAATTTTAGTTGTGTGGTGTTTTGAGCAGGATCAGAAGCAGAAGCTTGACCTTGCAGCAGAATTAGTTTTGGTTGGTGCAACCAGGGGGTTGTGTGTGGCGTAGTGACGCCTGTTGTGTTTTGAATGAGTCAGTGAGAAAACATGGGGTACTGAATTGGTTTGACTTTTGCGCCATTCTCACTGCCATAGGGGGGGGGGTGCTCTGCGGAGAAGCCGCACTTGTGACGATCTGATTGTGCTTCCCTCTTGCGCGGTTGTTGCAACGGTTGACTCTTACGAGCAAGTTGAAAGCTCGAGAATGGGCATGCGTTTTTCGGACAACTTGCTGAATGTGGACTTGTGATAGGTGATCGAGGCGCAACCTGACATGGCATTGGTGGGGGCTGTGAGCCTGTACGTGGCTCTGCTTACTTTCGTGTTGCGAGTCCATGTCGACCGCCTTGACTATGTCGATCAAGTTTTGGTAAGCATTGGTCATCTTGGTGGCTGTTGCAGACCGTGTGAGTGGTTGGAATAATCGATGACCGAAGAACAGCGTGTTGATCGGTGGATTTTGGATAGGAAAGTCTAGCTGGAATGAAGGAACCAAATAAGTGAAGATGAAGGAAGGAGTTGTTGCATGTACAAAACGTTGAAAGAGTGACGTGTGGAGCAGAAGTGAGAGAAACTTTGCTGATACGATGTGAAGCCTGTGGTATGTGGTTTTGTTGTGTCGGCTTGTGATGGCAGGGAGGGTGTGTGAAGAAGCTGGAAGGTAAAGGCAAGGTGAAGGATGTTAAAGCAACAAAACAGCTGGTGGCCCTGCTAAGTGCCCCTCTGGAGAAGTACAAGGACGTGGTGACTATCCTGAAGCTGAGTAATTATGGAAAGGTGATGGAACACTTGGACTACGACACAAACAGAGTAATGGCAGTGGTTCTGATGCAATCGATTTTGGCAAACAACACCCTCATCACAGCCCCGGAGAAGGTAAACTTTCCGTCGATGTTCTTTTCTTGTGGGTTAGTGATTTGCAAGGACGGAGCAGGGCTGTGAGAAGCTTGACTTGCACGATAGCGGTGGACCCAGATGTCACAATTCCTCCTTTCGACGTGTCTTTTTTTTTTTTTTTTTTTTTTTTTTTTTCAGTTTCCAGTAGGGCTACTTTAGTTTGTTGAATGTTTTGAGGTAACGGATGGAAGTTGGACATGACATTTGTTGTTTTCGTTTTTCGTGATTTGTTTATTTATTTATTGTTGTGTGTTTTGTGTTACTTTTTATGTTTTTGGGAGTGGGGAGCGTCTGTCTTTGTTTTGGTCGAGATGAAACTGATGAAACGCATTAGCACGACAGGTGGATGGGCTGTTCGATCTGTTGAAAGAGCTAATTCAGGACAGTGAGGGAGCACCATCCATCGACGAGGTATGGTATTCTTGTACTCACTCCTCGTGCTTGGGTGACTGAGCCAACATGCCCATTTGCAATAGTTGGATGGTATCGGGGTCTGAATCGTGTCTGGTTGTCCTGGTTGGCGACAGTTAGACGAAGAGGACTTCAAGGAGGAGCAAAATCTGGTGGCGCGTCTGGTACACATGCTGGTGAATGACGATAATGAGCAGATGTTCCAGGTCAGGAAGCGGAACGTGGCACCTTTTCTCTGAAGGAGCGAATGAACCGTGTGCGACCCTGAAGGGTGGAAGTGCTAGAGTTGTAGGGGTTGTTGTTGGGGTGGAAGTTGGTAATAATGTGCAGTACTAGGAGAGGTGTGGGGCGTCATGAGGGGATCTGACGAGATGGTTTTGGGTTTGGGGCAGATTTTAATAGCCGCAAGAAAGCAATTTGGTCAAGGGGGTCCAAAGAGGCTGCCATTCACTCTTCCACCTCTTGTATTCGCCGCTCTGAAGGTGCCAGTCTTTCACTCTGCCGGCTTGTTTGTGTATATTGAAGATATGTTGTGCGGCGTGAACCTTGTTTGAATCATCGCCGGCATTGCACGAAGGCTGAGGTTGTGTTTTGATGCGCTGCAGTTGGTGCGTTCTTTGCAAAACGAGGATCTTCCAGACGACGGCCCCGTATCTTTGAAGAAGGTCTTTCAATTTTTGCATCAGGTGAGGACGCCATGTTTTACGTTTGAGACGGTGCATGGGTTTTGATTTGAATCTTAGTTGCAGTTCACTTGGTTTTGGCGTGAGGTTGGATTGCGCCGGGAATGGTGGAATAGTGGTGTCTGCATTGGAATCGATGCGGATGTGGGTATCTGTCCATGAGCATACGACTTGACTGGAGCCGAGGTCCGTCCGGTAGTCAGTTTCAACGGATGTCTCACGAATTTGGTCACATGGCATGCAAGATACTCACGTCGTGTCGTGGGGATGAGGTAGACTGTGGAGGCGTTATCAGTGGTACCAGCCCCAGAACTTGCGTTGCGGTTGTACTTACAATGTGCAGAGGTGAGAATTCCTCGTCGTGTAGAGCTAGTAAGCGTATATCCTGCAGTTACGTGGGGCGCCTAGTCTACCGCTCCAGTTTTGATGGCTAGGCAGTTTTTGTACGGGTCGTCGATGAGGAGAACCGTTAGGGTGAAGGAGGAGTGAAGCGTTGTTTGTCGAAGCAGTTTGCAGGTGTTGTTCTTTGCAGCATGAGGTGTAGAAATTTGAAGGTACTGTGGTGGACTTGATTGCGAGCGGGTTTCAAGAGTTGCGTGACTTGGGTAACGAGGCGGTCTTTCTGAGTGGGTGATCCATGCGTGGTGTGCATTTTTAGGCTGCGGGTGTGTGCAACCTGGAACCGGTTGCGTATGAGTTTTTCACGCAGGCTTTCATGATTTACGAAGAGGAGATTGCGGTAAGTGGTGGTTTCCGCTTGCATTATGGTCGACTTGATACTTGGAGGATACAGGCTTTCGGGGTATGATCGTATGGTGACACGGGGCGTGAGGTGGTAAGGCATGCAATTTTGTGTGTGGTGCAGGATTCGAAGGCCCAGGTGACTGCTCTGCAGCTGATAATTGGCACTCTACAAAGAACACGGGTTTTTGGCGTGGAGAACAGGGACACACTTACGCACAAAGCGACAGGGGTAAGGCATTAAATAGCGTTTGGTTGTTGGTGCCGTGCAAGAGGGTGGTTCATGCGCCTAGCTGTCGTTGAGAGGGTAGTTGACGGCTTGCAACCGTGCTGGAAATGAATGGGAGTGAGATGTGCGGATGTTAGGGTGGGTCGGATGAGTTACGTGTATGGGTGCCGACTAGATTTTCAGCGATCTGTGCACGTCGGTTTGTTCGCCATGCCGGCGGTAGGCAGTGCTTACAGTGTTTGATTGTGTGGTTAGTTGGTGGCACTTCCAGACATGAGAATTGAGGCAGGAGTGTGACGATGAATCTTTGTTGGTGGGTTAGAATTGTTTTGTGGGTATTCTTGTTCTCCGCTTTAAATGCTTGACAATGGATGGGGTACGCTTGTGCACAGTACTCGGCGAAGTTGTTGAAGAAGCCGGATCAGTGCAGGGCTGTGTATGCCTGTTCTCATCTATTCTGGGTGGAAGAGGGGAGTGGTGTCAAGGATGGAGAAAGGTAAGTTGTTTGTGTGGAAGCATCGATTGTGCTTGGAGTGTTGCAGTTGCTAGTTGGCTGTCGGTGTTACGTGGGAAGATTGGCGGAGCTTACAGCAGTGTTGCTTCGAACGATTTTCAGAACGTGAGCGTCGTTTTTGGAATAGATGATTGACAACGGCTTCTAGGTGGTGTGAAGGCGTGAATGGGGTCGTCAAAGAATGCTTACCCTTCAAGTGAACAGGAGTTGAGTGCTGAGTCGCTTTGGGTTGCACTATGTGCAGGGTATTGCTATGCTTGAAACGGGCCTTGAGGATTGCCAACGCTGCACAGCAGATGTCTAGTGCGACCCGAGGAAGCAATGGGCCCATGACACTTTTTGTGGAGATTCTGAACAAGTGAGTCGGCACATCTCAAGTGGACAGGACGGTGTGGGTGTCTGGTGTACATGGAATCGTGGAAGGTGATGTTTTCTGTGTTTGGGGTTGAGTTATGGAAGGTTCACAGCTGTGTGGGGTTGGGTGTGTGGTTTGCAGGTATCTGTATTACTTTGAGAAAGGCAACACCCAAGTTACAAGCACGATCATTCAAGGATTGTTGGAGCTCATCGTGACGGAGATTCAGAGTGAGAATACGACGCAAGATATGCAGGTGGATGCTTTCCTGGCCAATACACTGAGGTACATCCAGTTCCAAAAGCACAAAGGTGACTCAGTAGCGGAGCGATACAGCGACATCAAAGTTCCCAGTTAGGGGTGTGGTTGTGGCATCATCGGGTTGTTTTGTTGTCAACTCAGTCTCATAAGTTCTACAAGCTATGGGTGCTTTTGTAAAGGATTAAGTTCTGACGCCTGTGTAGGCTCTTTTGATGTACAAGTAGTTTGTGGGAGAGGTGGTTGGCCTCGCTGCAGTTGTTATTTAGGATTCGTGGGTGTAGGGAACTGTACAATAATGCTTTACATTATGTTCATAATTTGATGACCTCCGATGTGTTCGGATGGCCGCATCATGTCCAGCTCGTCGTCGCCTTCTGACATGGGCAAGTGTATGTTAAGTCCTATCACTTGAGAGACCCAGGTGAAGCTGAATTTCCAAATTAGTATATCGGAAGGAGCTGTCTTTGTTTTTGCACAAATGTACCGTGTCTTAAGTCCAGTTTTTTATCCAAGCAATTTCGTTCTTTTTCACCCTTTCAATCCTATTAAATGACTACGTTAATCAACTGTTAATATATTGTAAGATTTGCCCTAATTGAATTTGCAAGTGATCACGGGATCACATTTTTCATCCCAATGATCACCCGGGGATTCTTCTTATCCATTATTAACCAATCAAAGGAATGGTCTGAGAAGCTTGGTCTACATTTTTCTCACATCTTCTAAGAAAGTATGAGGTGGCCTAGAGAATTCTTGCTCAATTGACAATATACCATAATGATGGTTGGTTGTTCAATGTGGGTGTGGACATTTGTTAGGTGGCACCACAAGACTCTTGCATCATGGGAGATATTCTTAAAACGAGATATCAATGTTGGTTGCAAACAAGTTGACACTTGATTCTACTTCCAGTCTTTATCGATTTGAAATGCAGATATTAGCCTTTTTCATCTCATATTAGGTATTTCAGCATAATTCTCGACATTTGTCTTAGTGTTTTTTCAAAGACCCTTTGTCTTTGGATATGTCTCAAATTCTTATTATCTTGAGTCCTTATTGGATGTTGCTTGCTTTCTTCATTTAATTGTCAGAGATTTTTGACTCAATTGTTTTAAATCCCAACAATGCTTTAAATTCTACTCTAAATTGTGCATTTTGCATTTTGCTCCTCAAGTCTATAGTTGTTGTCTTGAGGCAAATAGATAAAAGATATTCTCATTTTTTGTTTTATTTTGGTAGTAACAATTTTTTTTAATGTAGGAGTCTTTAGTCACAATATCATGCTCGGGTAGAATTACAACAAAGTGTGGATTATAGACCCTTAGTTTTAATGTGTTAGTTTTCTTTCAAAGGGAATCATCTTGTATTGTTTTGAAGATTGAGGTTCTAATGTCATATAGCTCTTTGATGACAAATGGTCCTAGCCATTAAAGTGAGAACTTCTTTAAGAACTTCTACAATTTGTCATTGTATTTTAATGCCAAATCACCCACCTCTAGAGCTTGCAAAGTAATGTATAAGTTGTGAATTTATTTATTTTTAGATTGATTTGTTCATTAGTTGTATAAAGCTGTTAGTTGTTTTTTAGGTAATTGGAGTAGTGCATGGACACGTTCTTCTTTGGCCTCCTCCATTCTAAACTTGACTATCTAAAGAGACAATGTCCTTACGAGCTCATATAATTTTGGAACAAAAAATTCAATAAAGAGGACATATTCTTACCCATATGTGAGTTGGAATAATGTGTAATTAGTGGAAGGTTTATACATTGTCTCATAAGCCTATAGTACAAAAACCAATTTTGTATCTTTTGCCAATAGATATACGTGAATTATTATTTTTAATGATTCTAAAAATTATTCTATTTACTTATTCTACCTAATTATTTGTCCACAAATAGTAAGGTGATGAGTGATGATGTTTGATTCTTAGCTAGTTGAAATAAGCCATGACTTTACTGTTGACAAAATGAGAACCTTTATTTGATGTAATTAAGTGAAAAATCTAGTAATGTGTCACAATAGAAGAATAGATGAATTTCACCACTGCCATATCAATAGGATCATTCATTGTGAGAGCTTTGTACTACTTTGTAATGTAGTTCATTTCCACTAACAAATATAAATTGCAAGTGTACTTGGCTGTTGGATGGATTGGATTCACAAAGTTAATAGTACATTTTTAAAATCGTTGTAATGTAAAAACTAAATGAAGCAATATTTCATAGCAATTAAGAAGTTTTTATTTTTATTATGTATTTATTTTTTTATGGCATACATTGCAATGGCTTGCATAATGGTGTGCATCTTAGATCACCATCAGTTACAAGTAATCTGTTAAGTAAATCTTATAAGCCTTTTATACTTCCGTAAAGTAACTTCCTTTTAGATCCAAATGACATGCTTTGAGCACAATTGCCATCTCTTTGGAATACATACATTGTCAAAGAATATTATCAATTCTAAGCCAATATAATTCTTTATAAATGAGAGTATATGGTAAAGCTTTTTAGATGAATGTATTCTTTTAAGATGCTAAGAGATTCTTCATTGGTTGATATATTAACAAGTAGTATTGTATTTGGTCCATCTAATGCAATTTGAATTTAGAGAAGTTGGCTTGCTCTATGGAAAAAAGAAAAAGGTAGAAGTTTGTTGTAATTATATTAATGGATATTTTAGAGGGACTATCAAGAATACATGAGAGTAAATCCACATTGCCATGGATTTTTCTCAAATGTTATTCTACTTTGAATGTGAATTTTGGATTAGTAGGAGCTAAAGCATTAACCTTAGAGATTAAGTTGATAAAGTCACCATATACTTTAAGACCTCATGGTCCACATAAAATACAAATATATTTTTTAGTAGATATTGTCTAAATTTTTAGATTGTATAGATCATCCTTAAATATTCTTTCTTAGTTGTTGAATGGTTTTTCTCTATGAGACTAAGTTGTTGCAATACATAGTATATTAGATGGTTTCAATTGTTGATGTTCAAATAATAATAATAAAAAAAACTACTTCTAATGATGTATTTGACGTATCTACATACATGTGAAACTTATATTTTTAGTGTGGATCCATAGAATTAGCATCATTACAAGTTTTTATTTGAAAGACTCTAGAAGGCATAATTATATATTGCTAGAAGATTACTAGTGTGTTTTACAACCCAAATGGCATGATGGCATAAGTGTACAAGCTATCATCAATGACATATATTGGTTGCAGCTTTTATGATTGAATTGAACAAGAACTTGGCCTAATTGAGGCCTCAAGTTTTGATCAGAGCTTTGGCAAAAATCATGGCCTAAGTTTTGTTCACTCTCTTGGAATTCTTCAAATGGAATATTAAAATGAAGAACTTAAATATGCTCTTGTATCTTTTATCTTTTATTCCACTAATTTAAAAATCTTCTATCAGATTATAGAAATATTAGGTGAAGAGGGCACCTATTTCAAATATTAGCTTCTTTCTTCTTGATAGCATACTCATCTAATCATTCTACAAATGATAGACCTCCATCATTAATGGAAGGTTCCATTTATTTAAATTGGCCTAAATAGAGTTTATCATCCCAAATGGCACCAAACTCTTATTTAATCTCTTTGCTTTGTGAAGTTTTGTCATTGAAGTAAAAATAAGCTTTATATGAGAGTCCCCTTTCATATGTATTTGATGGCTTATTGAATTCCAATGGCATAGATTTGTTGAAGTAAAAGTGAAAGTAGAATAAATTACCTTGTAGAGGATATTATCTAAGATAAGTTGCTAATGGTCAAAGGATTGATTCTTGGTGTATAGAAAGAGTATCCTATGGATATAGGATGAGGTCAAGGACCAAGAGTCAAAGTCAAGAGGACAAAGTATGAACTAGGAAATATCCATAAACAATGTAAGAGTAATTAGTGTTTGGCATAAGAGACCTTTGTGGTTAGTAAGATGCCAAAGGATCCAAGGACCATAGGATATCCTCGAGGTATATTAGATACCAAAGGATCTTAGGACCAAGGATCATGTGTGTAAAAATCAATGAGTAGAAATTGTCTTGTAGGGCAGCAACTACAACCTATAAGTATTCGGTGTTGGAAGTGAGAGACAACTTACTCCATACTCTCTTTGTGTACAACCTTGCTGATGCTATGTGTTGTGACTTCAAAGTTCTATTTCTTCAATAGGTTATGGGCCCATTCACCTTTAGTTGTGAGTTTTGAAGTTCTTTGAAGTTGTTTTGTTGTTATGAGGAGTAGATCTTATGGTTGTTGCTGATGTTAGAGTTTAGTATTTTCTAAATCTCTTTTTGTATCTAGTTCTTGATGTAGTTATGTACTTACTTCTTGTTAAGTGCATTCATGGTCTTGGAGATTGTTATACACTTCAGAATGTTGTTTTAGAATAGTAGTGGTGTGTTTCTTTGCTGACCTACCTCATTGATATACTAACATTAAATTTTCATGTGCTTAAGTTCCTAATAGATCTCCTTATAGTCATAAGAGGTGTTATGAGACATTAGAGGTGATGAAAGAGTGGCAAAGCTTCTATGAGAGTTTTTGATAGTGTGTAAGACTTGTGAGAAGTCTTATAAGTGAAGTTGAGAGTGATCAAAGAGTGAAATCACTAGTTTACTCACAAAGAGGGCAATCTGGGATTCTAAGGCAACAACACTTTTTTGTTGATTTTGAGAGTTCTACCTTCTTTTTTCTTGATTTTCTTTGATACACCCCTTCTTTAGACATGGCTTCAAGTGAAGGTGAGGGTTTGAGAGTGATTGAGACCTTTGGGACATTGTTGATGAAAGTGAAGAGCCTCCTAGTGATGAAGCTGATGTTAAGGTGAAGGAAGAGTACAAACGACGTGAAAGAAACGCTTTTGGCATGATTGCAACAAATCTTGATGATGCCAACTTTTTATATATAATTGCTTACAATGGACTGACGGAAGCATGGAAGACTCTTTACAATATCTATGAAACTAGAAACCTTGTTAATATTCTATGGACAAAGAGGAAGTTCTTAACAATAAAGATAGAAGAAGGAGATGACCTCATGACTCATGTCAATAAGGTAAAAGTACTTTGTTGTTCTCATTATGTTCAAGCTTCAATGTATCAAAGCAATTGAACTAATAGATGTGGATTTGAACACGAGAAAAGACTGGTTATATGAATTGGGTCTGTTAGTGTCACAATTGATTGTACTCTGGCTATCTAAAATCAATTATCAAACTACAAAACACCAAGGCTTATTACTTCCATCTTGATTCAACACATAATCCATTCTATAACTATCAATTCAACAATACTTCTCTCAATCACAATTATTCATAAGCAAATAATAAAAGCAAAGAAAATAAAGAAGTAGCATCAAGCTTACCCCACCTTACGACTTTCACAGTTTGGCTCTCAGCTTACGACTCTCACAGTCTGACTCTCGGCTTACGACTCTCACAATCTGGCCCTCAGCTTACAACTCTCACAGTCTGGCCCTTAGCTTACGATTCTCACAGTTTGACCTTCGGTTTACAA